AAATCTTGATCTCTACTACTTTTTTTTTATCGTATCGCTTTATGATAAAACCACTACGTACAAAATTTAATTTCGCTCTTTGTATGCATACTATGTTCATTTTTATTGTCTCTGAAGTTAACTTTGACCATAATTATTAACGAAAAGAAGCACAACAGGACACATGACATACAAGTGGAACTAGTTATATATGAATACACTTGGAGCAGGTAGAAAGAGGTAGATTCAGTCCTTTAATGCCCGATGCAAGCGTTACCATAGAAAGTTAGCTTTTCTCTAGAGGTGCTTCCCCAGAACGGAAGCTTTTTACTCCAAGCGAGCATTACGTCAGCCATTTTGCACTTTTGCCCCCCACATTCGTCGTTTCTGTTTAATAGGTCCACTCGATCCCTTTGACTATCTACCATCTCCCCCCTTTTTTTTCTCTATCACGTGGATTATTCCAACGGTTTTCATACGTTTTTTTGTCACCCCATCGCTTTTACTCAGCCATTGTTGTCGTTTCACTGGAAAAGTTTGATTTATTTTCCCAAGTTTTAAATGAAAATCAAAAACTTGGTAAGTTAAATAAAAAGTACACCAGCCACTAGACGATAAACGAAGCACGTGATGTAGGGACCCACGAACTGGTCCCAGGGCAACAAATGTAAATAGGTACGATGTAACAGGACCATACCCATCGGGCAATGAGAAAGGGGGGGGGGGCATAAACCATGAGAAATCGTGGCATTACCGCGAAAGTAATAACCGACCGCGCCCGTCCACCCCCGCCAACTTTATTGCTCGGGAGTAAGATTTACAGGCCATGCCCGGCGCAACTCGCTCTCAGCGCTTTTGTACACCACGCGCGGAAAGCTCGTCCCTGTTAAACGATTACGGACGCGTTGGGCCGTACACGCGGATACGCGCCTCGCCAAAGTTAATTCGTCCTTTGTGCGCGGCAATTGCCGGTGCTTAATGTAACCCGTGGTAAATTCGTATGATCGCATTCACCGTGTACCATCAACACGCGAATTTGAGCAAAAGAGCCGTTTCATGAATACAGAGGATACATCCGATCCAGACGAGACTCCCCGGAGGCCGAGGGGGAAGTTCGTTTCCCTCCGGTATCTTTACGAATTATGGGGTTATCGCGTAGGTATACGTACATCGGCCCACGGAGTCTCGCTCGCGGGACTTGGTATGCATGGAGGGTTGGATTCGTATGTGCAAGCCGTCGAACAGAAAATGTATGGCGCGCCATCCTCTGGCTTTTCTTGGCTGTTGTGGTTTGTGTACGCATACGAGAGATAAACAGGGGGCCGATAAATATACCGATTCGCGTTCCCGCGTAGGGGCAATGTTTTTCGTGTACCTATACCGTTGCTTTGTATACGTTTGTTCTTCGATTTCGGCGGATCCTGGGTTTATTTATTTATATATTGGTAAGGGGAGCCATTGGTACTTTTTCTTCAACTTGAATAGAAAATTACTTGCTTTTGAGAGTTTGGTCGAGATAGGACGATCATACTGTGCGTTTCGTCATTTTTCTCGTGAATGAACTCACGGGTGCTACATGTTCCATGTGTATTAACGTGTCAAGAGTACGTAGTTTGTTTTTTTTTTTTTTTTTTGCTTTATTTGTGTTCATCCGTCACGCGGAGATTCAACCGCGACGGGTCTATTTGCCGACTTCCGGTCCAATAAAATTTTTCACTTTCTTTCCTCGCACATGCTCCTCCGCTTTTTTTTCATTTTTGTTTGATCTCTGTTTGGATACAGAATATTTCACTTATCATCGTGAAAGAAAAGTAGTACACACAATTTCGAAAGGATCCCGAGCGTCGATCTGTTTGCGTGGGCTGAGAAGGCCCAGGCTTACCGTTGAATGGTGTTTTGATTGACTCGTTACTCTTCGTGTTGAACGTCTCGGTGGACGTACCACGACGCGCGCCAAGATGCAATCGGATGGTGATAATCGTGATATTCCCTGGTGGCGTCCTCGAGCTCTGACTTTGAAGCGTAAGCAGGAGAGTAAGGTATTACGCGCTTCGCGAAGGTCAAAGTTGGGAAGCGATCTGCTGTCTTGCGTGGGATTGGTAAAATTTTTGGAAATTCGACGCCTGCACCGTCCAAGGTGGAGCGAGTACATTTTTGAGCCTTTTGATTCGTGAGATCTGAAAAAATGCACTTAAAGTATTATTTACTCATCGAACGACCAAAGCAATACTTTTGGATATCACGAAAACATATATTGACTTTTTTTACTGTGTCACCTATTTTGAAGATAAATTCATCGTTTCCATTTAATAATTATCCGTCTTTTGACGATACAATGGTTTAATGGATCGCAATATTTTTAATACTATAAACTGTACCAAAGTATTAATCGGTGGTAATAAAAATTCGACGCAATATCAACAAAATACAAACGAGTCTGTTATGAATTGAGCGAAACTTGAAGGGTTTGAGTCCAAATGAATAACTTTTATGTACTNGCATGTACATGTAGATGTTGAGCTCGGGTTGGCGAAATCGGTTCTTACGCAGCCACTCCAGAACATCATCCTCCTTCTTGGGGTCACCTGAAAAATAAGTACCACAGACAATCCTCAGCTTCTTTCGGGCATAAACGCAACGATGCTTTTTGTATGTCCATTGCTACTATAGTGGGACGAAAGTTTTAAACCTAAAGGTGGTTAAATACTACAAAATTATATGCCTTCGATATGAAATCAATTACAATAATTCTAACTCAAATAGATACATCCGTCCGAAATATTTTCTCTTAAGCTTTCGAAAAAATCACAAAAATGTCGGTATCATCTTGAATTAAATTAAAAAAAAATAAAAATAAAACGCAATAGTCGTAGCCAACAAGATAAAAAGTACAAAAGTATCCAACAAGTTTCCTTGTTCAGAGTTTTTTAAGTTAGAATCGTTTCACTGGAATAGATAAAAAGTGATGACTCTGTGACAAAACATACTAAAGTATTGAATGAAGATAAAGTAAATTTTTTTAAGAAAAATTTATCCATTACATGCGCACTATTGTATTGTAAAATTTTCTTTTCTGGATTGGGATCATCTTTTTTAGGTGAAACATAATTTCCTATTCACAATATTTTCATTAGAATAACGAGCGAGGCATAAAAAAATGGCACTCGTGACCAGGTACAGAAGTTATGAGCCATAATTCTACAAAAAAAGGCTGTGTCTCCAGTTATAATGCAGATGCAACAGGATAGACGCCAATTTATGGCCATAAAAATAAAATAATCCGATTTAAGTATCATTTGATGTAGACGATAGGCATATAATATATAATTACGACCTGCCGTCTAGCGGATACGATTTCATATTTTGCGCCGTGACTCTCGTGGTTACGTAAAAACGTCCTTTACCCCTCGGCTCTATAAGTTTCCAACTTATCGTGCTCTCGCAACTAATTTTTACTGAAAAACATCCCTGTCCTCGTCACCATAATATCCTTATGGGAAACTTTATTCTTCCGTGCACCCACGTACGTGTATACCTACAACTTTGTAATGCTTGCTGTACTTCGTGCTTGATCGTTTCTAAAATTTTCCAATGAACAACGTTTTACACGAGCAACATGGCCGCCGGGACTGTATCTGGGCTCGATAGCCCCGAATGGATGACGCTCAAGTGGCGAATACCATTTTTACTCTACATCGATCACATATTCAAAGACTTGGACGATTACTGTGTCTCCAGTAGGAAAAACACCATTTGCCACTGATGTCCATCCATCCAGGACAATCACTCAATTGTACAAAGGTCGCGAGGGTGTTGCTTCGCAAGTCCTTCGCGTACGAGTTGCTCGTCCTGGAGAAAACGAGCATCACCAGTGACGCAAACTACTGTACTTCACATCTCTCTATCGCATACACCTGAGATTTATTGAGGAAAACACGCGCTTTTATAAAATGCCTGGGCGTATTTGCACCAAAGAGGGAAAAGAACTGTATAATCAAAGAAGGAACATAAAAAATCTGATGAACAAAAAAATAATTAATGTATACTATGCGCTTTAACATTGAAGAAAAGATGATAATTCAGTGTTCGTATAACTGTTGTTGAATTTTAAAAATATGCTGTGTTTTCTGATTGTACTGGAGTATAAGGCCAATCAGCAATTGCCGTCAGAAAAAGGTGTCTTTTGAAAATAAATTTAGAAATCGTCGGTCAAAAATTGTACATCTCACTTATTATAGCTGTACGTCTTTCCAAAATTTTTCACTTTTCATAAATTAGTCATCGACGAAAAAATGAGCTTGGAAAAAATAATCCTCTTTATTTCAAGTCGTCAATTGATAAGCCATAATTTGAATTTTACTCAGAATTTTTACTTTTTTCTCACAAAGGTGATTAAATTTTAATATTTAAATAATTCGTTAATTTTTAAACATTGAGATTTTTTGGTATGAAAATCAAAGTCTCGGGTCGCAATGAAGCCTCAACGAAAGGTAAATGTCGAAAGTAGGGGCATAGAAAACTGTAATCTGAAAGTTAATGAGTAGGTATCCCTACACTCATAAGTACACGTTAATATACATTACATGTATATACTTTCGTTTGAGTAGTCCGAGCCTTTTCGTATCATTTACACTCCACTAAATTCTAATAAAATCATACCATTATGTTAAAGCGAGTCCGTCGCATGGATTTGCGCTTCGGCGATAAGGTAGCCCAGTGCGCTGGTCCGAAAATCACTTGGCCATCAGACGTGGACATAACAACAATAAAATCTGGTCGTGGTTTGAATTTTCAGCAAGTACCATTGAGTTTGTAACAGCTAAAAATCATTTTTGGCTGCCATTTACGTACAATTGTTTCAAGTAATTGTATACAACAATTTTAGGTACAACAATCAAATCATATACATAAGCTACTTTTCAACAATTTTAAGCCAAAAGATTTTTTCCATTCGTTTAAATAATACATGCACACGTTCACTTTTGACGTCGACGTACACACGCTACGAGTCAATATGGCCTTTTATTAGCGTTCAAATTTATATGTAATATTATCGTTTTTTGAGCCCTTTTAAAAATTTTTAAGGGGTTGGAGCAGCTTGAGCTGTTTTTGTTGCGTCTTTGGCGCCAACAACGGGCATAAACTTCATGTCCAAATGTCCGATGGCCAAGGTAATAGCGCCTACTTATCGGACGGACCAACGAGAGAAAATAATAAGGTACAGATGGATGGAAAATGACAGGCAGATGTGGGGGGAAGGTTTTGGGTCTGGACAAGGCTTGGCTGGGCTAACTTGGAAGATGACGCTACACAAATGATGCACATACGATCGCGGATGATCATACATACATGTGCCACTATCGTGACGTTTAAGGCCGGCTTTTGCGACCAATTATCACTTGTACGAATCGTCGGTTGGAGCGGCAGTTATCACGCCTGTTTAGGATGGGCCGCGGGCGGGGGCGGCTCCGAGCGGAAGCACGAGAGCAAAAAACCCGTGTACATGGCGAAGAGGATGGCCACCGCAATCAGCATGTACATGTAGATGTTGAGCTCGGGTTGGCGAAATCGGTTCTTACGCAGCCACTCCAGAACATCATCCTCCTTCTTGGGGTCACCTGAAAAATAAGTACCACAGACAATCCTCAGCTTCTTTCGGGCATAAACGCAACGATGCTTTTTGTATGTCCATTGCTACTATAGTGGGACGAAAGTTTTAAACCTAAAGGTGGTTAAATACTACAAAATTATATGCCTTCGATATGAAATCAATTACAATAATTCTAACTCAAATAGATACATCCGTCCGAAATATTTTCTCTTAAACTTTCGAAAAAATCACAAAAATTTCGGTATCATCTTGAATTAAATTAAAAAAAAAAAAAAAAAAAAACGCAATAGTCGTAGCCAACAAGATAAAAAGTACAAAAGTATCCAACAAGTTTCCTTGTTCAGAGTTTTTTAAGTTAGAATCGTTTCACTGGAATAGATAAAAAGTGATGACTCTGTGACAAAACATACTAAAGTATTGAATGAAGATAAAGTAAATTTTTTTAAGAAAAATTTATCCATTACATGCGCACTATTGTATTGTAAAATTTTCTTTTCTGGATTGGGATCATCTTTTTTAGGTGAAACATAATTTCCTATTCACAATATTTTCATTAGAATAACGAGCGAGGCATAAAAAATGGCACTCGTGACCAGGTACAGAAGTTATGAGCCATAATTCCACAAAAAAAGTCTGTGTCTCCAGTTATAATGCAGATGCAACAGGATAGACGCCAATTTATGGCCATAAAAATAAAATAATCCGATTTAACTATCATTTGATGTAGACGATAGGCATATAATATATAATTACGACCTGCCGTCTAGCGGATACGATTTCATATTTTGCGCCGTGACTCTCGTGGTTACGTAAAAACGTCCTTTACCCTTCGGCTCTATAAGTTTCCAACTTATCGTGCTCTCGCAACTAATTTTTACTGAAAAACATCCCCGTCCTCGTCACCATAATATCCTTATGGGAAACTTTATTCTTCCGTGCACCCACGTACGTGTATACCTACAACTTTGTAATGCTTGCTGTACTTCGTGCTTGATCGTTTCTAAAATTTTCCAATGAACAACGTTTTACACGAGCAACATGGCCGCCGGGACTGTATCTGGGCTCGATAGCCCCGAATGGATGACGCTCAAGTGGCGAATACCATTTTTTCTCTACATCGATCACATATTCAAAGACTTGGACGATTACTGTGTCTCCAGTAGGAAAAACACCATTTGCCACTGATGTCCATCCATCCAGGACAATCACTCAATTGTACAAAGGTCGCGAGGGTGTTGCTTCGCAAGTCCTCCGCGTACGAGTTGCTCGTCCTGGAGAAAACGAGCATCACCAGTGACGCAAACTACTGTACTTCACATCTCTCTATCGCATACACCTGAGATTTATTGAGGAAAACACGCGCTTTTATAAAATGCCTGGGCGTATTTGCACCAAAGAGGGAAAAGAACTGTATAATCAAAGAAGGAACATAAAAAATCTGATGAACAAAAAAATAATTAATGTATACTATGCGCTTTAACATTGAAGAAAAGATGATAATTCAGTGTTCGTATAAATGTTGTTGAATTTTAAAAATATGCTGTGTTTTCTGATTGTACTGGAGTATAAGGCCAATCAGCAATTGCCGTCAGAAAAATTTTGAAACAATGTTAACGTCATTTTTCCCAGTAAATTTAGATAGTTGTAATAAGAATTTAATCACTGATTGTTGCGTTATTTGTACATCCATAGAAGAAAAAAATGCTTAGTTTCTGTTCATGCGCTGTCGATTATCGTTTCCAAGCCGACTTTTTTAAGCCATACGACATTAGTTATTCCTAGTTTGTAGTACAGATGAGCTGCTGTAACTTTCTCCTTCACTACTAGTAATACGTTGCACGTAAGCAAAAACAACCGAATTTTACAGAAGACAGTACCTTTTTCCTCGTCAAGATGATTATTGCTAAAGTTTTTGCGGTTTTTTTGACGATTCAAGGTAAGAACTTTTGACTTTGGTGGAAAAACTTTAAAGATACTTTTTTTGCTACTGTAATTAGCTTCTACATGATTTCTTGTGTTAAAAAAACCATTAACCATCGTCATGTCGTTGAGTACAACAAAAGTTTATCACATGATCAATGATTTCTTTTTCCACTTTTTTAATACCAATTTACGACGAAACTATAAGTAATCACTGTTGTTGTGTTTTGAACAATTTGCCAGCGCGTGGAAGGAAGCTTCTAAAGGCCAGTTTCCATATCTTTCACTTATTGCAATAAGTAACGATGTTGAATTATTTCGTTGTCAAGCTGCTCTTATTAGGGAAGACTATCTTTTAGCAACTTCAAGTTGTCTAGAACGTTTTTTGAGTTTTAAACTTCAACTCAAAGCTTTGCTTGGTTACAATATTGTCAACGAACAAATTTATGACGAGTATGCAATTCCCATCAAAAGCATTACAATTCATGAAAAATACGTCAAAAAGTGAGACATTTGTTTTTTATTTAAAATATAACTTATTGTCAACGAAGATTTAACTTTAATTTTACAAATGATACTTCCAGTGATACTAATTATGACGTGGCTCTTGTCCAGTTGGAGCGGAAAGTAGAGCTTAACAACAATACTCTCATAAAACTGCCTGAGGCCAATTCTGTTGCGAACGAGGGAACTAATTTAACGAACGTCCATGTGTTGTATGGAAGATGGAAGATGGCCTATTTAACAGTTTGCGTTTTAAACCATCAAACTTGTAAGGAGCAGTTAATATTTAAAACTGAATATAATATGCTGCACGAGTCGTCACAATTCTGCGTCAATAGAGTTGAAGAAGACGATTTACAAGAGGTAAATATCGAAAATAGCTGTTAATCTCGTAAAACTTTTAATAGAAACATTGACTTACATTTTTTTATGTTCCGTAGATTTATTGGAATGATGTTTTGGTTAAAAAAGACGGCTCTGATTTTGTGCTTATTGGATTTATTACTCGAAATGATCTCGCGGCCACTAGCATTTCAAACTACGTGGATTGGATAGAGAAACAAATAAACATTAACAACGAAATGATGATTAGCAATGCTGATCCACCATTGATAGCTGATACGGGTAATTACGTGACTGGCAGTGGATTAAGAACGAAATCTTATGATGTTTTTTTAATTTTTGTAATTATTGTACTTATACTAAAATGATAAATTATTTGAATGTCTGCATAAGACTTCCTCACCGGGGCGCATCTCCCACGAGGCTAACCCCGAGGGCATTTGTAAATTATTTGAGTAATAATTCGAAGCTTATTTCTGCTCCTGCGATAAACCTAACAAATTGACTATTTTCTGCCTCGTATAGCGATTTTTTCTTATTTTTTGAGTGGTGGAATTAAATGCATGATATCGCATTGATTTCCGTGTTTGTATTTTAACATCATATCCTAATTCCTGTCACTGATATCACGTCATCCCTTTTAGTCCTATTTCCCCNCGACCAAAGCAATACTTTTGGATATCACGTAAACATATATTGCCTTTTTTTACTGTGTCACCTACTTTGAAGATAAATTCATCGTTTCCATTTAATAATTATCCGTCTTTTGACGATACAATGGTTTAATGGATCGCAATATTTTTAATACTATAAACTGTACCAAAGTATTAATCGGTGGTAATAAAAATTCGACGCAATATCAACAAAATACAAACGAGTCTGTTATGAATTGAGCGAAACTTGAAGGGTTTGAGTCCAAATGAATAACTTTTATGTACCAAAGTTGTAAAAAATTATACAGACGAAAACCTCAAAAATTGATATGAAAGTGACTTGTCAATCGTTTTTATAGCTTTAAAGCTTGTATCTATTTGTTTGGGAGAAAAAAATGTTATAATGCGAATGTATAAGCATTGGAACGAACCCAATGCAAATTTTAATCCAAAATATTTAATTATACGATAAATAATGTTAAAGTAGTTCTTAAAAATCACGCAAATGTATGTGTGCATGTATGTTTGTTATACAAACCCGAACTGATTAGTAGTTAGGAAAAAGTAAATTCCTGTAATTTCTGAGTAAAAATAAATGGTTGTTGAAAAAACAACAAACCAATACTCTAATAAAACAATACTTATACGATTTTATTTTTTGTCCTTCAACTTCAGGAGGAGTCATCAATATTGGACAAACAAACAGACTTTTTTTACAGATGATGAAAGCGTAAATTGTGTCCTGCACATCACAAATCTATATTTCACCGGTGATGGTGCAGCAGTTGATGATATCATGATGTTGCTTGTATTAGACGTGGAAACAAAAATAAAAATATCCATTTCTTTTATTAAATAGTCATACAAATTTATTTAGACAACACATGATCTTTCTAATATACTTTCAATATTTACCGGTCAAATTGAATAACATGAACATTGAATTCCAATCGAATGAACACTTTCAATTCTTTTTTTAATGGAAAAAATTTATCGTAGAAAGAACGTCCGTAAGCCTAACAATAAATACGCTATCCTTTTTTTCAATCATCATTTAATAAAACAATTCGATTTAGCTAATTAGCTATTGAATAAATGTAATACGTAAACAGAGATTACATAGTTTTACTTGCAACATTTTAATTTACACAATATTTGAATGTAAGACCAATGATCATAAATTAGTTGTAAATATATTGTTGAGTTATTTATTAAATCACCATTATTTTATAACTAAACACTCTATACATCCACAAATGTGGATATACATATGTATTGTGTTTTGGATTCGTATGGAATTTAAAAGAGACTAATCGAACGGAGAATAGAGATAATTACGTAATATCAAGGTATGTCATACATGCGTAATTAAATCACTTGGGAATCCACGATGGCAATAATGCGTCTCAGATATAACGCAATAATAAAAAAAAATGTAATTACCTATATCTGGACGTCAATGTAAAAAAAATTGGGTGTCTATATAGACATTATTTGATATGATCTAAAAAATTAGCCAATATTGTTCAATAAAATTTCATTAAGATTCTTTATATAAAATGTTTGAAAAGAAACAATATGAATAATAATCATCTACCGATAAACCACATTTTGTAAAAATAAAATACCATAATGCCGTTCGTGAGTCGTAATATATATTTTTTTTTTTTCATATTCTTGTTATTTCAGCTGTATACGTCATCTATTGATTTTTTTTTTTTCTATAATCATATATTTGTGCATTCGCTACACACGTGTGTAAAATATGTAGTTACTTTATATTTGTTGTGGTCAACCCCAGCAATAGCCTAAAACTAAGGTTTCCATCCCACACTGGCTTCATTCCAAAAACTCAGTGTCATCAGTCGTTGTGGTACAAAAAAAACTGTTTGATTTAAAAAATTGTATTTGATAGATTTATATGTACTATCATAGAACAATTATTCATGATTTTTAAAACAGAAAAAAATACTTTCCACGTGGTAAACAAATTTTGATGGCCTAGAATAAGATTGTAAATTCATAGATAATTGCGTTATGGGCAATATAATTCAGGTGGGTGTCTTTTGAAAATAAATTTAGAAATCGTCGGTCAAAAATTGTACATTTCACTTATTATAGCTGTACGTCTTTCCAAAATTTTTCACTTTTCATAAATTAGTCATCGACGAAAAAAAGAGCTTGGAAAAAATAATCTTCTTTATTTCAAGTCATCAATTGATAAGCCATAATTTGAATTTTACTCAGAATTTTTACTTTTTTATCGCAAAGGTGATTAAATTTTAATACTTATATAATTCGTTAATTTTTAAACATTGAGATTTTTTGGTATGAAAATCAAAGTCTCGGGTCGCAATGAAGCCTCAACGAAGGGTAAGTGTCGAAAGTAGGGGCAGAGGAAACTGTAATCTGAAAGCTAATGAGTAGGTATCCCTGCACTCATAAGTACACGTTAATATACATTACATGTATATACTTTCGTTTGAGTAGTCCGAGCCTTTTCGTATCATTTACACTCCACTAAATTCTAATAAAATCATACCATTATGTTAAAGCGAGTCCGTCGCATGGATTTGCGCTTCGGCGATAAGGTAGCCCAGTGCGCTGGTCCCAAAATCACTTGGCCATCAGACGTGGACATAACAACAATTAAATCTGGTCGTGGTTTGAATTTTCAGCAAGTACCATTGAGTTTGTAACAGCTAAAAATCATTTTTGGCTGCCATTTACGTACAATTGTTTCAAGTAATTGTATACAACAATTTTAGGTACAACAATCAAATCATATACATAAGCTACTTTTCAACAATTTTAAGCCAAAAGATTTTTTCCATTCGTTTAAATAATACATGCACACGTTCACTTTTGACGTCGACGTACACACGCTACGAGTCAATATGGCCTTTTATTAACGTTCAAATTTATATGTAATATTATCGTTTTTTGAGCCCTTTTAAAAATTTTTAAGGGGTTGGAGCAGCTTGAGCTGTTTTTGTTGCGTCTTTGGCGCCAACAACGGGCATAAACTTCATGTCCAAATGTCCGATGGCCAAGGTAATAGCGCCTACTTATCGGACGGACCAACGAGAGAAAATAATAAGGTACAGATGGATGGAAAATGACAGGCAGATGTGGGGGGAAGGTTTTGGGTCTGGACAAGGCTTGGCTGGGCTAACTTGGAAGATGACGCTACACAAATGATGCACATACGATCGCGGATGATCATACATACATGTGCCACTATCGTGACGTTTAAGGCCGGCTTTTGCGACCAATTATCACTTGTACGAATCGTCGGTTGGAGCGGCAGTTATCACGCCTGTTTAGGATGGGCCGCGGGCGGGGGCGGCTCCGAGCGGAAGCACGAGAGCAAAAAACCCGTGTACATGGCGAAGAGGATGGCCACCGCAATCAGCATGTACATGTAGATGTTGAGCTCGGGTTGGCGAAATCGGTTCTTACGCAGCCACTCCAGAACATCATCCTCCTTCTTGGGGTCACCTGAAAAATAAGTACCACAGACAATCCTCAGCTTCTTTCGGGCATAAACGCAACGATGCTTTTTGTATGTCCATTGCTACTATAGTGGGACGAAAGTTTTAAACCTAAAGGTGNAAAAAAAAAAAAAAAAAAAAAAAAAAAAAAAAAAAAAAAAAAAAAAAAAATACATGTAAAATCAACTGAAACATTATTCTTTTTTCGCCGAGATTTCAAAGTACACTTACAGAAAAACACAACGACGTAATCATTTTCATCCAATATATTTTCCAACATTTTCGCATTGACCTCCTCGATTTTTCCAGGTATCTCGAGAGTATTCTCATCAGTCAGCCAAGACAAAACTTCGTCCTCATCTTCGATGTCTCCTTTGTAAACAAGCGGCTCTTTGTTACGGAAAAACACCAAAGTCGGTAAATTTTTCAACCCATACTTCTTGGCCAATCCAACGTCTTCCGTCGTCACAAACACTATACCCGTTTCGTCGAGCTCGTCATCTATGTTTTCCAACTCTTTCAAAACTTGGTCGCACTCGTCTCCTTCATCGCAGTTTCCACCTGTAACCAATTTATTTTCACTTTACTATCCATAACTTTGTGAAAAAAAAAAAAAAAAAAAAAAAAAAAAAAAAAAAAAAAAAAGATTCTTTCAATCATGTACGTACAGAAAAAGACGGCAAGGAAGGGCGACTCGTCCAACAATCTCTCCAGCATGCGGCCGTTGACCGACTCGATTTCGTCCGCCAGTTCTCGGTTGTCGTCGTCAATCAGCCACTCGAGCACCGACTCCTCGTTTTGTAAGTCACCTGCCGATCGAAATCGTTAAATTCCCGTGTCAGCCGATTTCGATACCGATTTTTTTTTTATCTCTTAAGGGTGTGCTGGACCGGTACCTTCGAACAGCAGTGGGTTTCCGTTCCTGAAGTAAACCAGCGCAGGGAACGTCTTGATCGAGTACCTCTTGGCCAATTGGGGGTCTTGAATTTTCACCAGATGAATGCCAAAAACGTCGCACTCGTCGTCGATTTTCTCCAATCCCTCGAGGATCTCGTCACAGATGAAGCAGTTTTGTTTGTCTGCCAATGAGCACAAGTTGGGTAAATTATCACGAAAATGTAGAAAAAAAAAAAAAGCTACTTGTCGATCAGAAGAGTCCCTTACAAAAATACACGGCCAAGTACTGCGTGTCCTCGACGAAGGACTCGAGCATCGTGCGCGTTATCAGTTCTATCCGATCCTCCGTCTTCTGGGTGATCAGCCACTGGAGGACCTCCTCCTCCTCCGAGAGATTGCCCTCGAAGACGTTGGGTATTTCGTTCTCGTAGTAGACCAAAACGGGAAAATCCGTGACCCCGTAGTCCTCGGCTACCTTGAAATCCTGCGGGTACGGACACTTTGTTTATGGCAAAGTCAGGTTTTTGCTACTCCTCAAACATTTTTCATACATCGTATCGCATCGTATCGCATTGGTAAAGATAATGGATCCCGAAGGTAAAATTTATTCGGTACATTTTTTTTCTGTGATTTTATTCTGCAAAGAGCGAAATATTTTTATGTTTCCCTCGGAAAAAGTGTAGTTTCGCCAAAGTTTTTTTTATATTATTTACGTCCATTAAAAATTGATATAGTCCAGTTTTCGGAATTGATATTAAAATACAATGTCTCGACTCACTTGTGTTTTGACAAACGTAATTCCATGCCTGTCGCAGTCGTCGTCAATGTTCTCCAGTTCCTCGAGGACCCCAGCGCAGTGTTCACAGTCATCGCTATCTGGAAAATTACTAAAAGCGTTAGACAGGTCTTTTTTATAAAAATGTAGATAATTATTTTTATGATTATATCGTATTGGCGCACCATCAACTACCATTCACTTGGCTCTGGTCTACGAAACAAGGGGTAACAAAAAAAAAAAAAAAAACAACAACAGAAACAGAATCTGCAAAAGTTGTGAACATGTCGTGTGACTGTAAGCGAGTTTACGTGTGAAATTATACATATGGGTTACCTTTTCGGGTATTGGGTGTACGCTTTTTGCTGTTTTGTATTTTCATGTGAATAATAATAAATAATAACATTAGAAAAAAGGGTAAAAAATCACTTAAAAAAGAAAAACGACGCATGAATCGTTTACATTTCCGGGTGAGGAGTAACTAATCTCATAACAAAGCGAAAGCCATCCCTAAGCGTTTGTACATAAGCACGCAGTCAGCAAAATTTTTCTAAACATCAAATACTCATGGAGTCATTCATCATAAATTCAAAGCAAAAAAAACCTTTTTTAAATTACATTTTCATGATTATGATTTTTTTTTTTTTTTTTTTCATGAAAGTCATTCATTCGGCTTGTATCGCCAGCAAGAAGGGACGGGGTGAACAATTTTTCCCTCTTCTTATCCTCATTTCCTTTCTGTATGCAACAGCTTTGTACGCGTACTTTGTGGATGTACGAGTGCACTCGAGTAGTGACTTCGAATGTATATACAATATATGCACCCCAGTGTACGTTGGCAGGGTCCTCTCGAGAGGAAACGTGGAAACGAAGCGAATTTTTTTCTTTTTTATTTTTTTTTTTTTTTTTTT